GGTAAGAGAGGCCATAGCTGTACGCGTCACGTACGCTCACGCTAGTGAGATAAATTACTCTCAGCTGAAAGAGGTCTGCCTGTATGTTGGAATAAAGAAATTCACGATTATGTTTGGCCGTTCTTTTGAGCTGGTGACAGACCACAAGCTCTGCTGGGTTTGCTGAAAGAATAGCGCGCTACGTCCCAGCAGGCATCCCCTCCTCTCATCAACGTTGGTCTTTGTTTCTTTTCTAACTACGAGTATCGACTGGTATTCGAAACCGACAGCGCCACGCAAACGCTGACGCCTTAAGTCGCCTTGCCACTGCCGGAACAGCCAGCGAAGGTATTCGAGGAGCCTGATCTAGTGCTGTTAGCTGAGCATCTAATGAATCTCTGTTAGTGCCAGTGACATCAAAGTCTGGACGCAACGAGACAAGAAGTTGGCAGAGTTCTGCAGTACATCAGTCAGGGCTGGCCAAGTGATGGATCTGAGCTGGAACCTATTCGTCACGTCGCTTGGAGCTTTCCACATGAGGGTATCATGTGGGGAACACGTGTAGTGATTCCTCCACCAGGCAGAGAGCAGTTCTGCAAGAGCTGCATGACAGGACAACCCCGCAATCACACGTATGAAGTCCCTCGCCAGAATGTATGTCTGGTGGCCCGGATTAGTGCAGATATTGAAAAATCTGTGCGCCTCTGCATGATTGCCAACAAGTACAGTCTTCACCCCCACTGTGCTCCACTTCACCGTGAAGGGCCACTAGACCTTGGCGAGACTCCATCTTGATTTTGCGGGTCCGTTCAAGGCAAAAACATCCTTATTGCGGTGGATGCACTTCTAAATGGATTGAAGCTGTTTGCACTCCGACCACGTCTTCTTTGTGTGTCATTGAAGAGCTCAGATCACTCTTCGCCAGGTTTTGGGCTGCCGGAGATGGTGGTCACAGATAATGGGACTTGTTTGTCAGCTCAGAGTTTGAGCAATTCTCTCGGTCAAACGGTATCAAACACACAACTTCAGCCCCTTACCATCCTGCTTCAAATGGTCTGGCCAGAGAGGCCGTGCAAACGGTCAGCGAGGTCTGAAAAGGTCAAAGATGGTTTCCCATGAGTGCTAGACTAGCAAAGGTTCTCCTTACTTACCGGGTTACTCCACAGAGTACAACTGGACTAGCTCCAGCTGAACTTCTGTTGGGGAGGAGACCGCGTACACGCCTCGATCTGCTGAAACCCAATACGGCGGAGAGGGTGGAACAGCAACAAAGCGCACAACATGATTCACGTGGTAAATCTCGAACTTTTCGTATCGGTGACGCAGTTCTTTTGAAGAATTTTACTGGTCCAGGTTGGCTTCCAGGAAAGATCATAGAAACATCTGGTCCGGTGTCATTTCACGTCTTACTGGACGATGGCAGATGCAAACGCTGTCACCAAGACCAGTTACGTCGAAGGGTCACTGACGATGGACCTCCAGACATGTCAGAAATTCCAGTGACACCAACCACTCCTGAAACAGGACCAGAACCTGAGTTAACGAACTCTGATCAACCCAACGTTCGAACAAATCCGACTACAACAGTGGGTAAGGCTGAGTGGCCACTTGAGATAACTGAGTTTCCACAATGGGAAAGGCTAGACTGAAGGGCTCTCCCTGACAGCTGTGTAGTATATACAGGCACCCTGGTTCCTTGGGTCATTGTTCCCCAACCCACAATACGCATTGAGGCTTTGAGGTTGGATAGGGCTCACAACCTGGGTACAGGGTAATATACCCAATATCTGTGCTGATTTTGTTCAATCCTTGACTGCAATTTTGGAACATTTTCTGACAGGGACAGGGTTGCATCAGTTCTAGGGACATTCCCTGTTAGTAACTGGGACCTGTCAACCGTTGGCTCCCCAACTCGAGACTGAAGAGGACCACCCACCGAACTCTGAGGGTTCCTAGTTACCCTGTAGTATCCGTCACTCACTGGTTCTTGAGCTGGTGGGGATCCAGCCTCAAGTAAGCTTGACTCCTTGGCTGAGAGAAAGTCACGGTCCTGGGACGATCCACAGAGGCTGTCGTCTTGGTGTTCGATCCATGCTGGCTCCTGCCGCACAGGGCGGTAGAGTAGGCGTTCCTCAGAGTGACGTCAGCTACATGCCGGCTTGACATGGGGACATTCCCCCGCTTCCAAAGTGACTCGGATCTCCCACCCCTCTGACCATACCTCCTACACCGTCCCCACCCAACACCTCTTCCTCGACTTCATACTGGTCGTGATTCTCATTCTCGCATCCAACATCCTGTCGGCCGTCGATCCACGGCAGGGTTGTGTAGTGTCTCCACTCTCCACCAAACGGGCCTCGCGCGCCTCCCAGTTTCGGTGTGCCTCTTCCAGAGCTCGGTAGCGCTCCAGTTCTGCCTGTTCTCGTACGCTGTCTCGGTCAGATAGCAGCAAACGGAGTCGTTCAGTACGGTGGGTCCGACACCGGTGGAAATCTCGTACGCTTATGGTCAGAAATCCCTAGAAAAATCTGTTAAAAAGCAAGCGCAATATTGTTGCCGTGCGCGCGCTGCTTTTCTGCTCCGTGTAGCTCCGTAAACTACTACAAGGCCGGCCCTCGCTGCCGCGCATGCGAGCCGCGATATCCGGCCGCCATACCGCGCGCGACTAGACTGCGGGTACCGCTCGATCGAGGTGTGTGTGTGGTGTGTAGTCTCTGCCTGGCTATGCGCTGCTCACTAAAATTCCACGCTCCGGGTTTTGCACAAAACACATGACCGTGTAAGTCTATCAGGGGACTTGTAGAAATTCCCTTGGGACTCCTACCGGCCTGGGTTTGAACCTATTATGCTTGAGAAGAGTATATATCAGAGAATACGAATGACCACACCACTAACAGTTGTACATTACAGGCACAGAAGTGAAATTGTTCCTTGCTGGCTGTTTCTGCTCATGTGCACCTGCGACAGTATGTGGTGTATGACTACTGTTCGTGCCAGTAAGGGAACTCCTCTTGTGAGAGTGTACAGTTATAGTTATATAGCAGTAAACCCTCAAGAGACCGATAGTAATCAATCTATAAATTCATCTAGAAATCACGCGGAAATCTGGAAATCTCTTGAAATCACGGAAATCTGAAAATATTAGTTGAAATCACGTGGAAACCTGGAAATCAGGGGCTTTTAGCGGACCCCTCTGTTCAGGAAGAGCTCCACGATCTGAATGACTGTAGCTATAATTATTATGTCGCATTGTGTATTTATTGTCATCCTAAAGAGGGGCGGAAAGAAACTTCAAAATACACTACTTAGTCTGTGTTCCCGTTTTCTGCCGTTTGTTAGCCGCCTACCAGTGCGTTAACCACGACGGTTGCAAAGATTTCGGCGCTACATTAGCTTGATTTTAAGGCTGGTGATTTTGTTGCGTTCAAAAGTGATGCCGTGAAAACCAAGTGAACAAGCCAGTATGCTAAGTAGTGCAGGCTTAATTAAGCTTACCTCGTACAGTAAGTACGTAATAGGGATGACCCAGGTTATGATGACTGATGTTTCACCTCGTGATAAAGTGACCCAGGGAGCTCTAGCCTCTATAAGGTAAATGGGGGTAACTCCGGACACGGAAGTAACTCCGGACATGGGGCGTTGCACCAGCCTCCAAATTATGCGCTGCGAAAAAAACGCGAGGAAGATTTGTTAGCGCTTTGGCAGGTAGTAATCAAGTGAAATATATCCGAATCTTTCTCTTGTTTCTGAATAACGAGTTGTGTCCGGGTATTACCCAGTGTCCGAAGTTAACCCCCATTTACCTTACTGATAAACACGATAGCAACAGTGTTTTACCTTCTTTCATGTGTGTTTACTACAGGAAGAGACTCTCGAAACAGAAAAACAAGCAGTCTGGCAGAATTTGGAAGCACAATCAAGATATTTGAGCCAGAGTGTACGGTGGCCGATAGGTGCCAAGCCGATTTCCATTCAAATTTCAACGCCAAATCCTGTCTACGTTCCACATTCCGTGTTTCCCACCGCAGCCTGTTTCCCCATACGCTAACCAAGGAAGGACAAGTGAAGTGTGCTCGCCAATAAAATTGCCATGAATACTGCCACATTCTGAGAGCGGACTCAGACCACCAAGGAGACCCTAGCCTCCTTTCCAGGCCCCTCAAAAAAGGCCTGGGAACGAGGCTACGATCGTCCGTCTCTCGGCGCATAAAGGGGCGTGACCGCGCGCCTCGCCCGATGGGGGCTGGTGCAATCTGTAATCGCCCATCCCCAGGAAGTTGGGGATACCGGTTATCTTTGATTACTGCCCGTTTATTTCCGTATTCTCCCCGTGGTACGTTTATTAGCCGCCTACCATTAACCGGGGTTGCAAAACGGACGCCGTAGAAGCTCTTAGGCTAGTTTACAATAACTATGTCGCACTGGTCCGTCGCGCCGTACCGCGTTGCCGCGCTAGACGCGACGAGGCAATGCGCCATATTTTGAACCTAGCTTTAGACACATCAGCAAAGACTGTAGGCCGGTTCCGTGTGAGATATTCACCACAAAATTGAGCTACACAGACTTCTGTGAAAGGCTGCAGACGAGGTAAGCACTCTACCAAGTGAGGCACATCTTTTGCTGCGCATTTGCCATTTTTTTAGCTCTGGATAAACGTTCTCTGCAGAATTTTCGCCATGTGAAGACGGATTATTTTAAGGAGATTTCGGAATTTCTCGCGCTATTGTGCCAGGCCATTTTCCGAACAGGAAGGCCTTGGTATGCGCGCAGATTTGGAGGCGCTGTAGCAGCCGCTCACTCACCGAGCGCACAAGCTAGATAACCGGAAATGAGAACATAAGTTGGAACGCATCGCTGGAAATTGGAAAATGGAATGAAAATCGGCATGGCACCTATCGGTACCATAAGAAAGTGATGGTTCGCCATGACACCTATTTATTTATCATTTATGTTTGTACAGGAGATGAAGATGCATGAGGAACTAGTTAGTACAGCTAATGAACTGCAAAAGGTAAAATTTATAATCCTAGAATGAATAGGGGATATAGCTAACGAAACAATTTGGATTCTTGCTGTATTGTATTATAATAAATAAAGAGATTCTACACACACTGATAATTTTTTTTTGCAATTTTATGTGATACAAGGGGAAAAAAGCCAAAGAGAGAGCTCAGAATGAAACAGTAAGCTTTTTTGTCAAAACAGGCACAGTTTATATGTGATTATTGTTATACCTAAAGAGAAAAAAACAAAGAGAGAACGAAGAGATGAAAAAGAAATTGAAGCAGAAGGTATAGCTATAGTCACAATTCTGACAGAAGGTGAATTAGAATTTAATAGGAAGATGAAATGAAGATTATGCAAAAAACATCAGAAGAGAGAGCTCAGAATGAAACAGTGAGGTTTTTTTGTAAAAACAGGCACAGTTTATAATTATTGTGATTATTGTTATACCTAAAGAGAGAGAACGAAGAGATGAAAAAGAAATTGAAGCAGAAGGTATAGCTATAGTCACAATTCTGACAGAAGGTGAATTAGAATTTAATAGGAAGATGAAATGAAGATGATGCAAAGAACGTTAAATGAAAGAGAGCAGAAACTACGAGAAATGGTAAATCAGTGTGCTGGCTGCATAATTATTACCAACTATAATCAATTTTTGCTGTAGGAAAGGAGTTACTGTTTTATTATGTAACATTTAAGATTAAAAGCACTGTAAAGCAGTTGTCATGATTATGAATTCATTAGAACATAGTTTATTAATTAATGTTGCAGTTACCTTTTTTTTTACGTAAAAGGAGGGGAGAGGGGTGAACCTGGGGACGAGGCTAAGAAAAATCCCCAATTCCAACATGTAGACTCACTTCACTTTTTGCATGTAGCTATGTACGTGTGTGCGTAAGTGTGTAAGGGTAAAGACTCTGTTTCTTCTATGCATTTTTACTGTGAGTGTTGCACTTGCCTGTAACATTTTACCTTCCATCACACTCACACACACACACACACACAGAGTCAAAAATCCCTTTGCATCACCATTATTGTAGTAAAAAACCATGCGCATGCTCAGCCACCCGCGCAATAATTAGATTACCACTACTCCACGCGGTGGTTGAAAAAGATGCCAGCAGGTATGTGTATCTAGTTTAATCTTGTCACAACAAGGCAATAAGGGTGTAGGTAAACTTCCTGCGCATGCATACTACTTTTTTACTGTCACAACCTAAAATAGGACATACAAAAAAACGGACAAAACTATACCATGACAAACTAAGAGTTTAGCAAGACAAACTGACAATACTGTGTCTATACCAGACTCCATTACGTGGGAGTGGTCCCGCCCCAGCGGTAGTGAGGCACAGGTCGGGAGATTAAAGGGACCGAAACCTGTGACCTACACGATGATCTGCTGTGGAGCTCCCCTGATGACTGGTGCATTACATAAACGACAGACAAAGGAGACAGGGTTTGCTAGCTGTTACGGGTGGGGATAGGGGTAGTGTAGCACGTGTACAAAATAATAATCATGTGGAAGCACACTGTAGTTTGTAACTCCATGCACAGCCTGAGTGTATGTCTGGTGGTCCGGCGCTTTGATGACGCCGACAAGTCCCCCCCAGTCTCTGTCACTACACCTCGTTCCCCACAATTCTCTCCCCCTCCTTTCTCTTCTTAACCCATACCAAACACACACAGACAAACCCAATGAAAAGCACTAGCAAACCCTCGGCGAAGTAGATACGGGCTAGCTACAGTAGTAGATAGCACGCGAGAGTCGATACACGCCATTCGTTGTGACTTCTTGTGCCTTCAAGATAGACAGAGCAAGCGGACCCGGTCGAGGTAAGCCTGTGCTAAATATAAGCGCATGCGCATTATCCGCCAGCGATAAAATGGTGACTACCGGCATTAGCCATACAATGTGGAAGCGCTCTAGCTTTGCAAGGCCACGCACCAAGAGCAATGGGCGGGACCGTTAACGAACGAACATACACCATATGAACATGAGGTGTCTGTCTCACCTCAACTCACCCCTTCCACCAGCGACACCCTGCAGCTCCCCAGACGCAATCTGAGACAGGGTCGGTTGTACGCTGGGATTATCCCCGTATAACCTAACCTTTCCCTTGGAAAGACGCATTGTGCAAGTTCTGTTAGCTGCCTGCCCCAAGCCACGTTCATTAGTCACAGTGCAATAACAGTCTTGGCTACGTAAACACACAAAAAAGCATAATTAGCATGAAATAAACATAAGTCAGCAAAAAGCACCTGATTAACCTTCATAACACTCAATTTTTAGAGCTAGATGTTCAAAAAGCGGGACCTTGTGATGATGATGATAAGTCAACCCATACATCAGGAATTGCCGTGGAATCAGGTTGGTAGCTAGCTAGCCTAGCGATAGCTACAACTTGATGGTGTGGTCACAAACCAGGCAAGACGCAATACTTTGTTCTGTACTACACACTAAACCATCTATAATATGGAGTGAAACCATACTGCATGATTCTATTTACTGTCAATAATGAAAATTGTATTTTCAGATTCCACCCAATTAAGCCTTAGCTACTGTCGTGTATATATAGGCTACAAGGTATCATAATAATATAGTGTTACTATTGCCATTGTTCAGCAGGTTCTGTTGACGAAAATATGATGACTAGAATGCAGGTTTTCCAAGAAAGGTTCAAAACACTCAGAGAGCATACAGTCCAGGGCCTGGGAAAATGCCACATCACTGTCATGGCAGTACTGTCCATACTCAGTGCCCTTCACTCTGTCAGAGGTCAGCAAGTGTTCAGCGGAGAGAATCAGGCAGCTCTATACGAGTGTCAGCACCACCAGGAGCTGTTTGGTGCACTCAATTTCTACTGCAGCTACCTCATGTGCGATCTCTTTGTCCACATTGTGCGCGAGCTAACAACAAAACACACGTCATGGTTCAAGGACCTATTGGAGAGAGTGGCTCAGTATGAAAGTGATTTAACGGAGTTTAAGAAGAATGTCACATTAAAATCATTTAGTGGAGTTAAGCTTAATAATTATGGTGGAAAGCGATCCTCCTCCAGGGTTCAGAAAGGTGGTTGTCCAGTTTGAATGGCCTGAAACAGCAACGATAGAATGCATAGAAACGTTCAAACAATGTTATGCACAGCACTATGGCCTTCATACTTGTGTCATTTTGGTGAATTGGATAGGGACAAATTCATTTGTACTGTTTATACCAACTGCTGTTGTCAAGCTTGTGAAAAAGAATAGAGCTCTGAACGTGTACAAAGAGTTCAGCATCACTAGGGTTGACTGTGATGGAAGCTGTGTCCTTCAAGCACCTCTTCACCAAGAAGTGTGTTTGTGCATTTTATGGACTAGCTATTTGTCACACTCTATGACACTATATTCTGTAGGTCATCTCCTCCTCTGTAATATGGCTACAACAACAGTTAGTGGATTATCCTTTTCTGGAGCAACCATCGGAGGATTTCTACTGTCCTGTGACAGCTGATCTGTTGCTTCAGCCTCACCTCACATCATGCTGTGGCAAACACCTCTCACAGGAAGCTGCCACGAGGATAAAGGGAAAGAATGGGGCGTGTCCACTATGCAACGTGAAGGTTTGGAGCACAATGCTGAACAAACACTTTCAGCGTCAGGTCAACTCACTCTGTGTACTCTGCCGACATGAGGAGAGAGGGTGCACGTGGCAAGGAGATGTGTCTACCTTTGACTCACACGTCCAGTTTTGTGCAATGAAGTATGCTCCACTGATGAAAACCAAACTAAATTCCCTTGTGTAGGTTGATGGATAATTAAATCAGTTTGTCTTATTAGACTGGTATTATACAGGTGTGGTAAAGATGTTGAAAGGCAGCCCATTGCAAATTCTACATCACAGAGTGGAGCTCTTCAGAAGGATGATAAGGTGACTGTGGTAGCTATAGGAAGAATGTGAGCTGAAATCTGATCTTTGCACTTGTGTTTCTAAGTGAAGTATACTATTATTGGTGAGCTGATCGAACCCACCTAGTCATCCCTATTGTAGATGCCATTATAGTACAGTGATGCTCTCTAGGTATACGAGTAGACGGCTGCAATTTAGCCTCACATACTATTCATAAGACACTTCGAATGATAGTGATTATTTTCCACTACAGCTCATTGTACATTGCCATTTTAAGGAGTTAACCGGCAGCTCCCGGCGCGGGAGCTGGGAGCATGCGCTGTCTCGGCTGCGGAGGCGGGCGTGCATTTGGGATGACCAACCACGTGGTCGCCATTGCTGCCAGATCCAGCCGTTGGCATAAGATCGGGCTCTCGTGCCGTTGCTTTTTCTTAACGTCGTTCAGCGTCTTCCCCTCTTCGTATCTCTACTCTCGAGTGATGTCTTCAGTCGTTGGCACCTCTGACGGCGCGGGAGCTGACAAGGCCACCATTTCCCCCCGGGGTACATGGACCAACTGATGACTACCCAAGCGGCAACCGCGGCAGGAGACTCAGCATCAACGAGCGAAGCCGCCTGCGTCCCTCCCTCATCAGCTGCGTCCCCAGCAGCCTCGGGTAAGTGCTCAGATAATCGGGGTCCAGGTACCCCGTTGACAAGCCGGCTCGTGCACCGAGTTGCTCTTGGCTGTCGACACCTACGGTAGGTGTATCCACCACGGGCCTACCACGTAGGGAGACTAGCCGGCTCGAGCACCGGGATGCTCTCCGCTGTGGACACCTACGGCAGGTGTATCCACCCCACCTAGCCGGCTCGAGCACCGGGATGCTCTGCGCTGTGGACATCTACGGCAGGTGTATCCACCCCCGACTAGCCAGCTCGAGCACCGGTATGCTCTCCGCTGTCGACACCTACGGCAGGTGTAACACGTTGTCGGCCTCAGTGGCGGATGGCACAGGTGGCCGGCTCGATACCACGCCTAACGATGCCTTTCCCAGGCTCGGCAGATGCCTCCTTGCCTGACGGCAGCCTCGGGTATACGTATTCTGATAGATCGGGGTCCAGGTATATACCCTGTAGAGAAGCCGGCTCGAGCTCCGAGTTGCTCTGGGCTGTCCACACCTACGGCAGGTGTATCCACCCCGGGCCTAGCACGTAAAGTAGTCTAACCGGCTCGAGCACCGGGATGCTCTGCGCTGTCGACACCTACGGCCGGTGTCAGTGGCATGTCCAGGGGGGTGTGTTAGGCTGCAAAAGCGAAACCAACGCAAGAGCGAAACGACACGCCTCTTAAAGTGCGGCGCGCGGCGCGCGCGCCCCTAACTAACTGTGCGCGAGTAAGTGCGGCGCGCGCACCTAACTGCGCTCCCCTGTGCTACACCGTTGCTGACAAGATATTAGACGTACTTCATCTTGTGTAACAAAGAGACTAAGGAGACAAAGGAGACAGTAGACAAAATTGGGAAGGGAACAGCCGGGGAAGTCTCTAATGAGTCTCTTTAGAGCTGCTGCTCAGAGAGAAAAGCGACGGATAATGAAGACATGGTTAGAAGATTATTTTGATAGAAGTTATATGTGGAATGGTACAATAATAATGACACTCATGAGTATTATCACTGGAGTATGGCATGGGTATGTTTTGAAGAAGGTTACATGGTGAAAGAGACAAAATGGTACGCATGAAGAAAGCTTGTTTGCCTTTCAGCACTTACAGAGGTTACATAACCACTTCTTCTTGGTATTTATAAAACTTTTGTCAATCTTTACACAAGAATCGATGTGATACCATTCCCGGCATGCCCCACACTGGATGAATTGAGCTCCACGTGTTAGCGGCCTTCTACAACTGCAGTATACATTGAATTCTTCTATTCTTTTAATCTTCTTCTTGACCCGCCTCTCTTTTATAATTGGAAAAATTTCCATTTCCCCCCTCTCAAAACAATTGAGTAGGTGTGACCGCATCAAACTCTGATCGAAATTATACGTCCCAGGATGTAAGCCGTTCAAAAGTGCAGTCACAAATACAATGGCAAAAAGGCCACAGTCTGCCTGACCTGACTGCATTTGAACATTGTTGTAGTGAAGTCGAATTGTGTTTTTCTTTGTCATTAGCAAGTTTGATATTTGTACCTTGCTATGTTCAGGGCAATGACAGTACATACTGTCAAACACATTGACATCAGGATGTTGCGTTCCAATTGTCGATACCACATGCCAGTGGCCCTCCCCAGTGTGGATTATTTGTACGAATTCCCCTGTTTCCACTTCAAATGAATTTGTGAGCCCAAAGTTGACATTTTGTAAACCTCCAACCAGTGCATTTCCCCTTTTAATAGTAACTGTGCAGCATTTATTATGGAGTCCGATAGCCATGCATTAGAACTTTTCAAGATTGCTTTGTCGGACTGAGTCATATTAAGAGATGGAATCCATGACGTTGGCCACTCACTTTCGCCTGATTGAGAATCATCTATCACAATATTATGATTATCTTCCTTTTTAGCTGCAGGACTTATCTCTTCCTTACTAGCTACAAAACTGCTTGCCTCCTCCTTAGAAGGTGAATGTGGAATGTTCTCCTCTACCTGTTCAATGCTTATCTCATTTGTGATAGGACCAGTGTCGTTTGCCACAACCTCCCCTTCACTCTGCAAGAAACTAAGATTCAAAAAAAATTTGTATGATTACTATACTTACCCGTTTTTCTCTTTGCTTCATTACCCACTCAATCAGCTGATCCATTTCAGTATAATGAAGTTTATGGTGTTTTTGGCCGTAGACTGTTATTGTTGATTGAGATACACTTCTTTCAAACTCATTCCAGTAATCAAGGAGGGCATTACTTGAGAGAAGAACGCAATCAGGATCATTCATAGCCCTTTTGAACTCATCAAACTCAGAGTGTTGTTCACTATTCACAATTACAAAGTCCATGACCTGCCTCAAATCTGGTCTTTTGTTGTATTTTCTATATTCAATCCACAAAGCCATATCTGTATCGATGCTGAGGCCATGTTCTCCAGCTTGAAGGTGTTCTGAAAGCTGAAAAATAGTTGGAAAAGAACCTAAATGTTGGCCATGAGATGAGACCTCTCAATCTGGGTTCAGATATATTTTATATACAAAATGACAAAGGATATTAAAAGGACTACCTTTCCCTGTGACTGTGGATGGTATGGTCGGCTGTGGATGATCTTGACTTTGAGTTTATTTCATAACTTGTTCTACAACACCCTAAACTCAGTTCCTTGATCTGTCTGAATGATCTTAGCTCCTTTTTGCTTAGATTGACATCCGTTTTCGCTTATGCGTTAACCAACGCACCTGACGCAAATGCGAAACGAGGCTCTGCACATAATGCCTTCGACTTGCTGCTAAAGTACAAGTGTAGGATGTCGAGGACGTTCTTCCCTTTAGCTGCTAAAGTCAATGTGAGATGGTCTGGGAGACGTTTCTTCCTCCTTTAGTCCCAGGATAAGGAACTTCTGCATGCGGTTCCGTTCCGATACCGGATGGCGATACCGGATGGCCGTGCAACCTTAATTGCGCCGTGCGGCATTAATCGCGCATTCCAATCCCGTTTCGCTCTTTGCGTAGGTTTCGCTTATGCAGCCTAACAGTGGCTCGTGGTCGACGCACCACACCTGTGCCTCCGCTCTGCAGATAATTAAACGGGCAGTGTGCGCTCTGTATTTAGTGCAGCTCCTATATAAGCGGACCACTAGACAACAGTACGCCGCAGCCTATTACCTCTCAATCCGTGTATTTCTCGTCCTCAGCTAGTAGACAGGCTGCGAGCCAGCCATCACAAGTCACTCAGACTTCCGCGAACACGGACGAGGCGGAGACGCTTTTACAGTTACCGACGATGAGGTCAAAGGACAGTTTGCACGCATGCGCATAACCAGGTACTCATGCAGGCGATTTTCAAGGAACTCTGCCGTCCAAGCTCATGTTTCCAGTGTTCGCTATGTGACTCAGCGGTGCCCAGAAACATCTCATGCCTCGAACACGCTTGTACAAACCACCCAAGCGAAATGGAGAACCTTTCATATGATTATATTATTTCCCTTCTCATAAATGCAGAATCCGCTGTCTCTATTTTTTCATCAAGTAAACGTGTGCCATACAGCAGCTGCTTTTGGACCCTTAAACACAGTAATTAAAATTGTTGTCACAATGTTGTTTCCTTTAATGTACTGTGCATATGCCCACTGGGTCACTGCCATTATTATTTACTAATTTTTGTGCGAGCATGATGCGTACATGGTGTTGCTGTAGAATTGTGGCCTCGCTGAGCACCCCCTACCTGATTGGCTGAACACGCCACTGGACTATATATGATCCACCCCGGGCCTAGCATGTATAGGTACGTAGACTAGCCGGCCCGAGCACCGGGATGCTCTGCGCTGTCGACACCCACAGCAGGGGTATCACTTTGTCCGCCTCGGTGGCTCATGCCACAGGTGGCCGGGTCCACTGCTCGATGCCACGCCTAACGATACCCCAGGCTCGGCAGCTGCTACGTTGCCCGATGGCCTCCGCCGGAAGCGGTGATCCTATAAGCTCGACGGCCCACCCGGCGTGGCTCTCACCAGTAGCAACCGTGACCAACTAAGCCGGTTTCTCGGAGGATCTGGCACACCTTCCTGGCTTCGGCTCTGTCCGGCTAAGAAATCGCGTCGAAGTGGATTACTCCTGCCCGAGTCCTGGCATTTGCAGGCGGACGGCCCCAGCTGCCACACGGGGCGGCCGCGCCGCAGTCTGGTTACAGGGTGCTTCGCCACGATATGGCGGCTATCCTCGCTTCGGCCTTCTGAGAGAAAGCCCCACATGGCGTCACCTGCCGACGGACCATCATAAAGGCTTTGAGAGCTCTGCCTGGCCGGGCGTCTTACGGCATAGCGCTTTGTTGCCAAGCTGGCGTACCTCTGGCTTGTTGAATTTGGCTAGACGAAAGGACTCACTAGGAATATGCGGACAGTTGCAGTCAGCCAAGAGGGTGAGCAGAAACCTCACTGTTTCTCTGATACCTTGACCTCTTGAACACATTCTCTGCTCCTCTCGGATGTAATATAGCGCCGCGCGCCGCGGTATAGCGCGCGCGCGCCACGCCTTCTTAATCTTTTCGCGTGTGTGCTGCTGGGTATAAAATCCATAGCGCCACCAGATCAGTTTGTGGTTCTTTGGAAGTGAGCGAGGAGGGGAATACGCCTGTAGCAGTCGACGTTCAAACGAAACCTGACTTTTATACAGCTCGCAGAATAATAGCTACGTACGTCCATCGACTAAAAAACTATTTTCCAAGAGCAAATATATGGGCAGTATGTTTCACTGCCTCATTCTGCTACTTTTGTGTCCAATTCTGTTTTAGCTGAGGAAGCCAAACAAATACAATAAAATATTAGCATGAGGCTGAAACAAGTGTCCTTTGTAAAGAGGTCGTCTCTATCTAAGAGGGTCCCTTATCAAAGGTTCCACTGTATACTCATGCTAGCACATTTTGCTGCATTTTTGTTGATGGAGAGTTTGGCGACCGAACTTTCTGGCAGGGGACACAACAAAAGACACTGCCAAGGAAGGCACATGCATTAACAGCTAAGATGTTTTTTGACTTTGACAATAACCTTCTGAAGAAATTGTTGTTGCTCTTGTTTAAAAGAAAACATGCTAAACAAACACACTGAAATTATGCTAATAAAGCCACAGGTTGTTTAGCAAGTTAGTTTTGTGAAAGTGTGTTTTTGTGAATCGGCCGCAGCACTCCTGCAAGGATATTGTGACAAGACAGCAAACCACATGCAGTGCATGACGTTCAGGACTCACAAAATGCTGAATCGAGAATAATGCTGAGAATAATAGGGAGGTTTTGGGGGTAGTGTGTAATGTGCATGCGCAGTTCGCATGCCTCGTGTAAAAATGCCCTAGTTGCAAGGGACATCTTCGTCTTCAAGCGGGAATCCCACACCATCAAGCACTAACCATACTGACTCGGAAGATATAGACACTGCTCTCTCCCTTTTGCAGTGCAGCAAATGCATTTTCTAAATCTTAAATCTCTGCATTGGAAGACTATGTTCAAATATCTGCTAAGTTACAATATAATAGATGTGATGGAGTTGTATTATGTCATTTGTATATGCATTTCTGAAAAGAATAATGGTCATTGTAAAAGAATAATAGGTGAAATTGAAAGAATAATGGGCATAAAATTGGAGCATTAAAAAGAATAGAATAAAAGGCAAAATTTTGAGCATAATTTATCAAGCTATTCAGGACTCACAAAATGCTGAAGTTAGTTTCAACCCTAGGTGAGCATCCACAATGAGGCAATAGTAGAGTGCGTTAGGGTTTCTCTGCCATCAACTTGGGTTTGCCTTCGTTCATGTATTGCAGACTTTGAGCCCAGCCTGCTGAGTTTATGAGTTGCCCTGGCAGCTCAGTGATAGAGCACTCGTCTAGAGAACAGAGTGCTGTGGGTTTGAGTCCAACTAAGGTCTCTGAGGTCACTTGCCTGTCTTTAAACCCTGTCTGGGAGTTAAGCTACCACATTTGGCCAAGGGGAAACTTAGTCTCAATAGCAGTGAAATTGCCATTTGCTCACTCGGACTCTGACAGCATCCCATGTGGAAGGCGTCTCACAATGCATGTGTTGTGTGTGTGTGTGTGTGTGTGTGTGTGTCTGTGTGTGTCTGTGTGTGTGGGCATCAAAGACACAGAGTGCTGTGGGTTTGAGTCCAACCTAGGGCAGCTCATGGCGTCCTAGGTGTCGATGAATTGTTTAGCATGCACTTGCCTGTATTTAAACCCTGTCTGTCTGCTAAACTACCACATTTGGCCAAGGCGAAACTTAGTCTCAATAGCAGTAATATTACCATTAGCTCACCCGGAATCTGACAGTATCCCATGTGAAGGCGTCTCACAATGCATGTTTGTGTGTGTGTGTGTGTGTGTGTGTGGGCATCAAAGACAGTCAGATCCATAGCATTTTTAGCAGGTTAGTTTTGAGCTTTTGTTTGTGTTATGGTTCCCCTGCAAGGATCTTGTTAGCATTTAAAAAGGTAGCATCCACATGCAGTGCGTGCAGCGGAGGAGTTGCGCAATGCTAAAAATCGTCTTAGTGACAGCCCTAGTTTGGGTCTGTGGTAAATCAGTTATCATCAACAACAAAACTGGACATGATGTTCCTCAATGTCTCCAGCAAAACAGCTCTTCTCCATGTAAAACCCTCGGCTATGTGTTTTCTAATGTGTCTCTTCTCAATAACAGTGAAATTGTCTTGTTTGGAAATCATTTGCTGCACCAGACTTTGACAGTATCTCATGTGGAAGGTCTCACAATACAAAGTGGTGGAGAAACTGCTTCCATCATCAAATGTGTCAATTTTACCAATGGAGGATCTGGGCTGGTAATAAGGTTTGCCCTGAGAGTGAAAATTTTCAATATCAAACTAGAAGGTTGTGGAACAAGTCAGTTAATAAACAATGTACAGTATCATTCTGCTGTCACCATCATCAGTAGTGCTAATGTTCAGATCAGTAAAACAAGCTTTCACCAAAGTATTGGGAGAGGTCTAACAATGCATGATGTACGTGGCCAGGTAGAAGTAATAAACAGTTCTTTTATTGGTAATACAGTCAGGGACACACTCAATGATCAATCAGTACACAGTGGAGGAGGTGGTCTGTACATTAAAATCACACCTTCTCCTGGCGATATGTCAAGCTGTACTCCTGGACCTGAAACTCTCAACGACAAGGGTACAATGTATTTCATCATGAACTGTGTGTTTCAAGGTAACACAGCAATAAATGCAGACGGCACAGAAGAGAGTCACATTGGGTTTAGAGGCCTAACAGATAATGAAAACAGTTATGGAAAAGGTGGTGGAATTTATATAAACATGGAAGGCTCAGCGTTCTTAATAGTACAAGATTGTACATTCTACAACAACTCAGCTCTCTGGGGAGGAGGAATTTTTGCAGTCTTCCATGACACAACCAACTCCCTCTATGTCAACATGTGTACATTTGAAAATAACACAGCGCCACTAGGAAGTGGTGGGGCTCTTCAGTTATATTATGATGTGGCAGATCCAGGAAAACACAACTTTGTTTTGTTGGACCGTGTTCAATTTATCAAAAACTCTGCTGGTTTCGGAGGAGCGCTAAGCTTTTTTACTCGCCTGGTATCAATTGACATGAACAACAGTGTATCTGTAAGGAGCTGTGCATTCGTTGAGAACTCGGCTGAAGCTGGAGCAGCTGTATATTTCAAACCCATAGCCGGGCATTCGTTTATCGATTTGAAAACTAAAACACTTTTTTATGACTGCTCTTTTAGTAGAAACCAAGTCGTGAATGTAAACTCCCTACACATGCAGGAGTCTGGTGTAATGGATGTTGAATCATTCCAGATTGACTTCCTAAGGCATGTGTCATTCAATGATAACACAGACAGTGCCATATACTCAAAGTCAGTGCAGATCAATGTATTAGAAGGCACTCTAGTTCAGTTTATCAATAACACTGCCAAAAATGGTGGGGCAATGTCTTTACACAGCTTCTCAATGTTTGAGATCCATCCTGGTTCACAAGTTGTCTTTGACTCAAATCATGCCAGTGAGCTTGGTGGCGCAGTATATGCAACCTTACCCCAGGAAACTGAGTTTGGCTTATCTCAAAGGTGCTTTCTATCTTTCAGTGATACTTCTGTAGATGATCCCGAGAAGTTAAATTCAACAGTTGTATTTACTAACAATTCTGCACATTATGGACATTTCCTATTCACCGATTCAATTATTCCCTGTCAGAAACAAGTTCTTAGAATATTACCTCATATCACTACATTGGTTCAGTGGCAAACTTACATACAAAGCCACCAAAGTGAAAAGTATGTCATTGCTACTAGTCCAGTTGCCATCAACTTTACTCTTCCACCTTTAATTTCTCCAGGAGAGGTGATACATATCCACCCAATATCGTTTGATGAGCTGAACCAGCCTCTTTCAAACACTTACAAAGTAATATTCGATAGTGACACAGCTAGTGTTAAGACTGATTCACAACTAATTTCAAACAAAGGTTCTTTGCAAATATTTGGAAAACCTGGGACACGGTTTAATCTCACACTTCAGATACATAATGCAAGGCATGTTACTGCAACAATGACAGGAATACTTGGGAGCTGTCCACTTGGATTCACACTTGTAAACAGTTCGGTATGCATCTGTTCTGCTGACATACCTGGTAGAGAGTTGGTTAGCATCCCATATTGTGATTATGTCAACTTTAGGGCACTACTTAGTTTTGGGTACTGGATTGGATGTACTGCAAACAACACAATTATAACAGGTATTTGTGGCCAATGTAATAATGAACGTCCTCTCCTCTCACACATTCCGAGAACTTGCCAAGATCTGAAGGACGATTCAAGCATGTGTGTTGAAAATAGAAGAGGTCAGCTTTGTGGAGATTGTGAGAAAGGATATTCTGTTTACACACATTCAACTAAATTGTCCCTGTGGTGAGTGTACTTATGGGAGCACTAGGATTATTCGCGTACTTTGCAAGTGAAATCATTCCAATGATTTTGCTTTTTACTGTCTTAATAACAATGACAATAAGAGTCACTTCGGGATACATGCAGAGTTTTATTTTCTTTGCACAAATAATGTTCCTTCTGAACCATGGCCCTGTACTTACACAACTCTCTGATACCAGTGATACATTCATTAGGATCCACACCTTTATTGTTGGCTTCTTCGCCATGGCTTTCTTTTACTTGGATGAGATTTCATTCTGCCTTTTCAAGGGAGCAAGTACACTTGACATTGTTTCCTTCAGTTATGTAACTACTCTGTTTTCCATTGCTTTTCTGGCATTCTTTATATTGATAGTCAATCATACACCGGTGTCATTTCAAGCTGCATCTGTCCGAGTTCCTTGGTGTGTTAAACTTCTCAGAAAGGTGAAACTCCTTAAAAATCCAACAGTTCACGGAATTTCAACATTTTTAATCATTTCATACACTCATTTTACCTTCGTATCATTCATACTACTTGGTAACTTCCCAATGTATGAAGAAGGAAAACGAACACCAAAGTACGTTTCTTCCATTCAAGGTAGCGTTGACTACTTTGGACCTGGCCACCTCCCATATGCCATTCCAGCATTGCTAGTGTTGATATTCCTCTCTCTTCCTCCACCTCTTCTGCTCATGTCTTACCCACTGCTGTGGAAGGTCAAAGCAAAACTGAGACGTAATAATGCAGAAAATGAAAACGACACAACTCTGTGGCCAATTCGTAAACTTCTACCCCTCATTGACTCATTCCAGGGAGTGTTCAGAGACAACTGCCGTATGTTTGCTGGTCTCCTATTCCTGTGGAGATTGATTCTGAGTGCCATTTTTGTTTTTACAACCAATGTGACCCTGTATTATTTCTTCATCGTGAGTGCACTGCTGATCATATTCACTGTTCACACTCTGGCAAGGCCATACACTATAAGAATACACAATACCATTGACGGAATAATGCTGGCTAATATGGCCATAATCACTTTACTGAAATGGTACGTATCGTTACCATCCATTGGAAATGTAAGCAGCAATGTTGTTGAGTTACTCACCATCATAATGCTGCTACTGATGTACATTCCCATTATTGCTTACTTGGCTGTCACTATTTTCTGGCTCCTGAAAAGGCACCATATTCTCCCAGAGAAAATTAAATGCCCCAGTACAGAAGAAGAGGACTTTAGCCTACGAGAAGAAAATATTCCTTCAAATAATCGAGAAACGTTTTCCGATGATGATCTTTTTAGTCGTGCAGCAGAGCTCAATAATCTCCCCAACAGGAATGTGAGTTCTAGTGAAGCAGGAGTTGAGTTTGAAGTCACAAAGAGCATAAACTAGATTTTTGTTAACCAAGAACACGGAACATATTTACAGTAGTTTTAGCATGCTTTTCAATGTCTGACTGCAATGTATCGTTTAGCGATTGAATTGATTTGGTTTGCACCACTTGCCTGCAGCTGGCGTGTCAAAAGCTGTTATAGTGAGTGAAGCAATGTCCAGAAAATTGCACAAACACTCGCTAGCGCTTTATGCACACGACGCATGCGCTCTTTTTACGCATGCGCAATTAGCGCATGGGCTGGGCATGGGTGGGCCGGCGGGGGTCCGGGTACGTACGTGGCGGGAGCCGGCCTCAGCCGGGCGGCTGCGCCATTGGTTAGTCTCGCATAGCCAGCCCAGAGAAGGAGAGGGCTGGCTCCGCGAGACTATAGCCGCCAGAGCTGCATCAGTGACTAGTAGCATTTGAGCAACGGTTCCAAGTACATACACCTCACCGAGTGCCGTCTACCGCGACAGCGGGGGAACCTTATGTGGGCTGGGCTACCGACGCGACGCGGGTAATGAGCGTGGATGGAAGAAGCGTCTGGATCTGGGTCTGGGTCATCCTATGAGGTCCAGCGGATCTTCGTGATGAGGTACGGGGAGCGAGAAGACTCGCGGAACCCCCTGTGGAAGAGGACGGCGGTCCGGCCGTACGACACCCCCATCACCAAACGAGGAGAGGCAGAGGCGCGCCGCAAGTGGCAAGGCAAGAAAAGGACGGAGTTGAGTGTGCGTCATATAGCTATTATAGTTCTGTTACAAATGTGGCCAGAAACACGAAATGACTTTCCTTACCCTGTATTCCTTGCTCATGGGAATGAAGCAGCGAGCCATGACGCTAGCTTAGATAAGGCCTGCAGCACTGTGCAGGTGTGTGTAATCTGGGGAAGTTATGTGGCTTGAAGTCTCTGGGGAGAGGCGAGCCAGACAGAGCCGTGCAGTCTTTTAGCTTCTTACAGCTCTTGGGTAAGAGTCTGGCCTGGTTCAGTTGCCGCCTCTTGTTATTAACCCTCGGCGCGCATGCGCAGCGAGGGTTACGCTAGTTGTCCCGTAAGTGTGTCAGTCTGTCTGTCTGTTACCACGTTTTCTGCCACTGCGCGCACGAAATCAGGTAAATAGCGATATGATCGGGTTCAGTGCTACACTGGGTTGATTTTAAAAAAGGCGATTTTCGTAAAACTACTGTGTTTTAAAGTTATGGCGTGAAAACCAAGTGAACAAACCAATATGTAAATTAGCACAGGCTTACCTCGACCGCGTCCGTTCGCTCTGTGTGTCTTGAAGGCACAACAAGTCACAACAAAAGGCATGTATCGACTCACGCATGCTATTTACTACTGTAGCTAGCCCGTGCCAGACTCTCCGCGAGCTACTAGCGGGATACCACGAGTAAAGGCATACAAAACCCAGCCCCATCAATTAGTGGTACCGCACATGCGCAGTTCGCCGAGGGTTTGCACTTTAGTGCTTTTCATTGAACCAATTAGTCACCTGGGTTTCGGTGAGGTGCAGCTTGGACATGAGCTGCTGCCACTCGTGCCCTGTGATGTACTTCCAGACAGTGAAGCATCGCTTCAGCTCATATATAGATCTGGGTGAGCAAGAAGGGTTGCCGTTTCTTGTGGCATCGCTTTGTTGCTGCCTCTTTTTCTTGTGGTGCCTGTTCTTGAACCATTAGTCACCTGGGTCTCGGTGAGGTGCAGCTTGGACACGAGCTGCTGCTCCCGCTCGTGCCCTGTGATGTACTTCCGACAGTGAAGCATCGCTCCAGCTCGCAGACCTGGGTGGAAGATAAAGGGCCATGTGCCTGTTTCTTGTTCTTGCTTGAGTCCACGGCAGAACCTGCACATGTCAGAAAAACAAACAGTGGTCAGTGACATCCACAACATCATCAACATTGGTTTAGAAGTGCTGGAATGTGTATATCGGTTTGGTTGATGACTTACGAGGAGGACCTGCAGTGGACGATTCAAGAGATGCTCCGTAGCAATCCTCACTTCTTGTGTCTCTCCGTTCTTCCCAGTACTGTCGCGGCCCTTGTCTTCCCACTCGCTGTCTGCAGCAGACTTCATGTCCGAAGCCACGCCGTTCGGGACATGGTCGTCCACGCTCGTGGCGTCGTTGTCGGGCTCGCTGTCGCAGTCTTCTGCAGAGTGCTGCCTCGGAGAGCGTCAGGACGAGTGCAATATCGATCATGAATGGAGTCGGTGCGGTGCAGCATGATCCGTGGGACCGGTCATCTGCCTTTTAGCCCAGAGATGCAGCTGCAGTGGTATCAGAAGAGTCCATCGCAGAGTGAAGGGTATATACTCACCAGAGGAGCTCTCTGGGTATAATACTCACGCTCGATGGCCCGCGGAATTATATGCGCATGCGCACAGCGCCGGGCAACACTTGCCCTTCCAACTATACCCGACCCCAAACTGCGTTCGAATTGTGCGAAAGTAACACAAGTTTTTTCACCGCTCCGGACCGACTATAATATATGACTGCGCAGATCCAGGTTCAGGACGCCTCTGCACTACTTAGAGAAAATCCATGGTCCAATATAGTACTTGGGTGTAATAATGCCTGTATCTTGCCTCCACCTCAGTTGCTCATTTTTGTTTCATTGACAGCCTGATGAACAACACCAGCCAACAATTATTCTCACCTCATCACATGGTCCTTTTCTCCACCAATAATACACAACATCCCGGTTCCTTGTTCTGGGCAACCTCCACAGCTTTTAACTTGGTCAAATCACTGTCCATGAGCAGTCTCTTCTGAGTCGCCTCACTTTTCAAGCTGCACACGAAACGATCACGAAGAGCTTCATCCAGCTGCTCACCGAACCCACTCTTTGCTGTCAGTCATCGGAGCTCCGCAAAGTATGATTCCCTGCTTGATCTCTTTTTTAGAAATGTTCCACAATCACAAGTGACCTGGGTTCAGCAGTAATTTCCGCGAATGCGACGCATTTATCAGATTCTCGGGGTCGGGGGGCCAGCAAATCCCGCACTGTGCTGTATACAGTTGTAGTACCAATAGCATTTAAATTGTCCACGATGCTATATATTTAGCTAACACGAGAAGGTCTTGATCCGCTCATGTAGCACGAAGAATTGTCCTCCCGAAGAAGTGATCTCCTTATGGCAATTATCAATAGCAGTTTAATCAGACACAGTGCTGTATGAAGTGATAATTGAGGTAATACATTGCATATTTGGCAATGTCAGTAGTTCTCAAATGCATGTGTAGATTGACACTGTCTGTACACAACATTATTACCTGCAGGTTCCTGATCTGGATTCAGAGAAGAGGAAAGCTGTGGTTGTGAAGGAACAGTGGATTGATGACTCAATAGTGGAAGAATGTTACCAACTGGCAACTACTTTATCCGACTCAACATGTTCAATGCACCTTTGTTAGCAAGATAATTATATACCAATTAACTGTGCATTTTTTGATTTATAGCCACCATTGCAACCAATGATGGGCTCATGCACGGCTGGGGGTGACATGACCTGCGGGACTGGACAACAGCTGCCTTAGTCAGGCTGGTCCAGTGAATTACCATTTCAGGCAGTCGCAGTTTCTGGACGCAAGTGCAGTATATAAGGCATGAACTACACAATACATGCAGCAAAGGAGGCCTGGAGTGAGTGCAAGGACCTCTCTTCCTCCAGCAGTCTGGCCTGTAGTCTCCTCAGTTCTCCTCCAATCTCCCTCTGATTGTGGGGAGACTCCGTCATACTAGCTTGAGGCAGCTGTCGTTGAGCTGGTATACTGTGACGCAGCAGACTGTTCTCTACAGCCACTCCTTCGAGATAGAGTTGTTGTTTAGTCTTGTTTGGCTCCTTGCACTTGAGACTTGATTCCCTGCTTGCTCCAAACTTTTGAAGACACTCGCCTATTGCACTGCTCAGTTTCAGCTGACACTGATACACCTCTCCCTTCAGCTTATCGCCCTCACCTAACTCCACAGATTCATCATCATCATCGTTATCCCCATCTGGTTGTTGGGGGTGGGCCAGCAGTATGTCCAGGACACTCTCCATCCACTGCCAGAAGAGGGTCTCGTGCTGCCTCCATCTAGCTAGCCCCTCCAGACAACTCACATGCCACTCCAGTCTCTTCACACAGGCTGCCAGCTGATCTGGGTATCTCAAGAGGAACAGGTCGTGTAGACTGAGTCCGGATGCCCTCTTTGCTTGGCTCCTTGTAGAATGGAGGATGTTGTGTGAGAGTCTAACAGCTGCTCTGTGGGCGTTCTCTACAGACCTCCCGCTCCCTGTGAGTGTCCCCTTCAGCCACTGAATCTTTCTCAGAGTGCCTTCAAGAGAGGAGGAGTTAGCAGCAGAAGATACGAGTGCCTCTAACTGTGCATCGAAAGAGGCCGTGTGGGTCTCGAAGCTGTCCAGGAGAAATGTTTTGGAGGGAGACAACGGAATGGACATGGTGTGGAGAGCAGCACACACATGATAGATCTGTAACCGTGACACAAGTGACACCTCTTGAATCAACCAAGCAAAGAAGAGCAACAGTTCTCGTGAACCAACTCTCTCCACGTAAAACTGAGGTCGTTCGTAGCCAAGATCAAGAGCTAGTTTCCTCACACAGAGAGCTATGTGTGGGATATCACTAGAGTGGCTGCAATCTTTGTCCGCATCACTAAGGTCTCTGAGGTCACCAGACTGCAACAGTAAGTGAAGAGATGCCAGATGGTGAAGAGTTCTCCAGAAGGGCTCCAGGGCCTCTGGCTTGTTGAATTTGGCTAGACGAAAGGACTCACTAGGAATATGCGGACAGTTGCAGTCAGCTAAGAGGGTGAGCAGAACCCTCACGGTTTCTCTGATACCTTGACCTCTTGAACACATTCTCTCTCGCGCCGATACTAGTGCGCGAGCCACGCCTTATTTTCGTATCTCGGCGCATGCGTGTGAGGGCGATGCACCTCTGCAGCCACCCGATCAGTTTGTGGTTCGATCGAGGAGGGGAATACGCCTGTAGCAGCCGACGTTCAAACGAAACCTGACTTTATACTGCTCGCAGAATAATATGTCCATCCACTAAAAAACAATTTTCCAAGAGCAAGGGCAGTATGTTGCACTGCCTCATTCTGCTATTTAGTTTGTATCCAGTTCTGTTTTTGCTGAGGAGCTTGTAATCCAAAAAATACAATAAACTAGCATGGGGCTGAGAAACAAATGTTCTTTGTAGAGAGATCCTCTCTATCTAAGTGGGTCCCTTAGCGGAGGTTCCACTGTATACTCATGGTAGCACATTTTGGCTGCATTTGTTGATGGAGAGTTTGGCGACCGAACTGTCTGGCAGGGGACACAACAAAATACACTTGCCAAGGAAGGCACATGCATTTACAGCCAAGATGTTTTTTGACTCTGTCAAAAATTAATACACAGAACAATAACCTTCTGAACAAATATTGATGTTTCTTTTGTTCAAAAACATGCTCAACAAGCACATACTAATGAAACCACCGATTGCTTAGCAAGTTAGTTTTGTGAAAATATGTTTTTGTAAATCGGCACTCCTGCAAGGATATTGTGACCACACAGCAAACCACATGCAGTGCATGACGCTCTGGAGTCCTAGGCCTTGATAAATTATGCTAGCATAATTTTGGATGTGAATCGAGAATAATGCTGAGAATAATAGGGAGGTTTTGGGGGATAGCATGTAATGCACATTCGCAGTTCGCATGCCTCGTGTAAAAATGCCCGAGTTGCAAAGGACATCTTCGTCTTCAAGCGGGAATCCCACGCCATCAATCACTAACCGTACTGACTCGGAAGATACAGACAGTGCTCTATCCCTTTTGCAGCGCAGCAAATGCATTTTCTCTAAATCTCAAACCTCTGCATTGGAAGACTACGTTCAAATGTCTGCTATGTTACAATGTAATAGGTGTGATTGAGTTGTATTATGTTATTTGTATATGCATTTCTGAAAAGAATAATGGTCATTGTAAAACGAATAATAGGTGAAATTTAAAGAATAATGGGCAGAAAATTGTGAGCATTAGAATGGATAATAGGCAAAATTCTGAGCATAATTAATTATCAAGCTATTCAGGACTCACAAAATGCTGAAGTTACTTTCAACCCTAGGTGAATAAGCATCCACAATGAGGCAATAGTAGAGTGTGTTAGGGTTTCTCTGCCATCAACTTGGGTTTGCCTTTGTTCATTGTATTGCAGACTTTGAGCCCAGCCTGCTGAGTTCATGAGTTGCCCTGGTAGCTCAGTGGTAGAGCACTCGTCTAGAGAACAGAGTGCTGTGGGTTTGAGTCCAACTAAGGTCTCTGAGGTCACTTGCCTGTCTTTAAACCCTGTCTGGGTGTTAAGCTACCACATTTGGCCAAGGGGAAACTTAGTCACTCTCAATAGCAGTGAAATTGCCATTTGCTCACTCGGACTCTGACAGCATCCCATGTGGAAGGCGTCTCACAATGCATGTGTTGTGTGTGTGTGTGTGTGTGTGTGTGTGTGTGTGTGTGGGCATCAAATACATTCAGATCCATAATGATTTGTTTAGCAGGTTAGTTTTGAGCTTTTGTTGGTGTTATGGATCCCCTGCAAGGATCCTGCTAGCATTTAAAAAGGTAGCATTCACATGCAGTGCGTGCAGCAGAGGAGTTACGCAATGCTAAAAATTGTCTTAGTGACAGCCCTAGTTTGGGTCTGTGGTAAATCAGTTATCATCAACAACAAAACTGGACATGATGTTCCTCAATGTCTCCAGCAAAACAGCTCTTCTCCATGTAAAACCCTAAGCTATGTGTTTTCTAATGCGTCTCTTCTCAATAACAGTGAAATTGTCTTGTTTGGAAATCATTTGCTGCACCAGACTTTGACAGTATCTCATGTGGAAGGTCTCACAATACAAAGTGGTGGAGAAACTGCTTCCATCATCAAATGTGTCAATTTTACCAATGGAGGATCTGGGCTGGTAATAAAGTTTGCCCTGAGAGTGAAAATTTTCAATATCAAACTAGAAGGTTGTGGAACAAGTCAGTTAATAAACAATGTACAGTATCATTCTGCTGTCACCATCATCAGTAGTGCTAATGTTCAGATCAGTAAAACAAGCTTTCACCAAAGTATTGGGAGAGGTCTAACAATGCATGATGTACATGGCCAGGTAGAAGTAATAAACAGTTCTTTTATTGGTAATACAGTCAGGGACACACTCAATGATCAATCAGTACACAGTGGAGGAGGTGGTCTGTACATTAAAATCACGCCTTCTCCTGGCGATATGTCAAGCTGTACTTCTGGACCTGAAACTCTCAACGACAAGGGTACAATGTATTTCATCATGAACTGTGTGTTTCAAGGTAACACAGCAATAAATGCAGAAGGCACAGAAGAGAGTCACATTGGGTTTAGAGGCCTAACAGATAATGAAAACGGTTATGGAAAAGGTGGTGGAATTTATATAAACATGGAAGGCTCAGCGTTCTTAATAGTACAAGATTGTACATTCTACAACAACTCAGCTCTCTTGGGAGGAGGAATTTTTGCCATCTTCCAGGACTCAACCAACTCCCTCTATGTCAACATGTGTACATTTGAAAATAACACAGCGCCACTAGGAAGTGGTGGGGCTGTTCAGTTATATTATGATGTGGCAGATCCAGGAAAACACAACTTTGTTTTGTTGGACCATGTTCAATTCATCAAAAACTCTGCTGGTTTCGGAGGAGCGCTAAGTTTTTTTACTCGCCTGGTATCAAGTGACATGAACAACAATGTATCTGTAAGGAGGTGTGCATTCATTGAGAACTCGGCTGAAGCTGGAGCAGCTGTATATTTCAAACCCATAGCCGGGCATTCGTTTATCGATTTGAAAACTAAAACACTTTTTTATGACTGCTCTTTTAGTAGAAACCAAGTCGTGAATGTAACTCCCTACACATGCAGGAGTCTGGTGTAATGGATGTTGAATCATTCCAGATTGACTTCCTAAAGCATGTGTCATTCAATGATAACACAGCCAGTGCCATATACTCAAAGTCAGTGCAGATCAATGTATTACGAGGCACTCGAGTTCAGTTTATCAATAACACTGGCAAAATGGTGGGGCAATGTCTTTACACAGCTTCTCAATGTTTGAGATCCACCCTGGTTCACAAGTTGTCTTTGACTCAAATCATGCCAGTGAGCTTGGTGAGCAGTATATGCAACCTTACCCCAGGAAACTGAGTTTGGCTTATCTCAAAGGTGCTTTCTATCTTTCAGTGATACTTCTGTAGATGATCCTGAGAAGTTAAATTCAACAGTTGTATTTACTAACAATTCTGCACATTATGGACATTTCCTATTCATCGATTCAATTATTCCCTGTCAGAAACAAGTTCTTAGAATATTACCTCATATCACTACCTTGGTTCAGTGGCAAACGTACATACAAAGCCACCAAAGTGAAAAGTATGTCATTGCTACTAGTCCAGTGCCCATCAACTTTACTCTTCCCACTTTAATATCTCCAGGAGAGGTGATACATATCCACCCAATATCGTTTGATGAGCTGAACCAGCCTCTTTCAAACACTTA